TGATTGTTTTTCTCCCTCACTTGTATACCTTGCAGGCAAGCGTCTCAAACCCGATGAAAATGACGAACTCTAAGAGACATGAATTGGATGGCAGAACATAGCATCGCGTTTCAAACAAGGTTCCAATCAGGGACACAGTGGGATGTACAATTCCGGAAACCGGTGGCAAGATGTGGCAAGTAGATTCCTTATCGCAAAGAAGAGAGGCCTCAATCAAAATTGACCACAGTGCTTTGGGGTTTCTAAGTTTCAAGTGCAAAGCAAAGGCTGACATTGTGGACAGGCCAAAGCACGTGCAGTGCTTGGCTTCAATGTAATCATCTTCAAGTGTTGGGAAAGCTGGTCGCAAGAAATGTTTCCAATGGCACTTGAACCTTGCAATTATATAACATCCCAAAGGTTTGACCTACATCAAACACACCAGAAAACAAAACCATGCTCATTTATGACGGCGATCATGAAGAACGCCCATGGAGTGTACTCAAACAAGTAACCAAATGCCTTTTCCCAATGTGAATCATGTATTAACGAGACAATGATATTCTTCAACCTATGAGGAAGTTTTCGTTTCTTATTGTAGTAGTACGGAGGTCCCATCTCGAGGAGGGGCCCTATATGAATTCCACAAGGTGTTTTGCCGGGACTATGACGAAATCTTCCCGAAATCTTCCCGAAATCTTCTGATCATTTCAAGATTTTGCCAAGACATTGGAGTTCCCTTTCAAGAAAACTGCAACTCCCTTCCAGAAGTTTCTGAAAGACTCGGTCAAACATGCATACAATATCATAAAACAACCCCATTCAGATTAGTCTTACCAATGTTCCTAGTTTTTACCAATGAACATGTCTGATCATGGTAAAAAAGTAAACCACTGCTTTCGGAAGACATTTTGGATAAAAAACACCATGCCTGGCCAAACGACCAGCCACATATACCTATCATATCTCCATATATTTGAGATCTTTGTTGGTAATAGTTACCGATATAACATCCGATATATAGTTACTTTCTCCCCCCAGTAGCAAATGCCTCTACTGCAAACATATTACATACGTGGTATTATTTTCCCACGTCCATAAATCGAAATCCCCAAATAGGGTTTTGAATATCCCAAATCCATACATTTCCTCATGTATCAACTGCAAAAATCATGCCCATCCGCTTCGACGCCCACGGCTTCCTCTAGAGACTGTCTGGGAACACATTTGGGAGTGTTTCTCTTTTCATCATCATCGATCAGGGCAACCTGGGTGCGGATAACATTGAAGCGGTGTTCTAGTGGTATTGCTAGTGCTTGTTGTAGTGTTTTTGTTGTTGTTCTTGTAGTAGTAGTAGTAGTAGCAGCAGTAGTAGTAGCAGCAGTAGCAGTAGTAGTAGTAGTAGCAGTGGTAGCAAGAGGGAGAAGCTGTATGGGTGCACAAGCGAGGAGCAAGCAGGGTGCAGGATCGAGAAAAAAACAGATGCACAAGCGAGGCGACGCCCTATAGCAAGCCCTTGAAACCCAAAAAAACTGATAAGAATTGTGATACGGTTCTATCTTGTGGGAGTTACTTCGCGAATCACTTTGTAATTTGATAGACTAACACATCCCAGTACTGATATAATTATATAATGTGCATTGACATGTGGGAGTGGCTAAGCTTTCATACGTCCATGAGCACACGAGTCTTGCAACTATGGGCTGGCAAATACGGTTCTTCTCCTGCAAATAAGGCATCTGAAGTCATTTGACTATGGATTTTTCTGAAAATTACGTACCACTAAATCCACTCTTTTCATCATGTTCCCTATTAAACGATTCAAAATGGCCTGTAGACTATGGCTCTGCCACCATTCAAAAAGATTCAGGGGATCCCTGAAGTATTGGATACCTCCAATGAGGGTGCCCAAACATGTCCAATACATTCCACAAGCGGTTCCGTTGGGGGGGCAATTATTATACGTAAATGTTGCGGAGAAGGGATCTCAGAAGGGGTTGCTCCGTTACTCCTCTATTTACTACAATTCTGATGACTTATGTTATATTATATACATATAGACAGAAAGAATTATCCACCAACCACTTTAACTCACCTCAGTTGAATCATCGCCATACACGGTACGCTTCACCATGGTCACCATCCAAGTGGCACATTCCGAATTCCGCTCGCCACAGAAGGTCTGACAGTTCACGCGTCGTCCGAGGTACTGGGGCCGCAGGAGGAGGGAGTTCACCACGAAACATGGGGATTGAAGCGCCAAACATGGAGATTGTCTTTGATGTGTGATAGGTATGTGGGTGTATAACTAGGGTATCGTGGAATTTATGGTGGGTATATACATATATATATATGTGTATATTGAGCTAGTTAAAAGGGCTCACAAATCAACCTATATAATATATAATGATTATAGATTATATAATGCATGAAACTGTTCTTCCCATTTATCAATTCAATGGGTCTCTTTGAACATGGCGGATAGCACTTGATCATGAAAACCCATTGCAATCACCATCTGAGGCCTTTATCCCAAATCAGAACACGGACCTAGATCCATATAGCAAACAAAACGAGCAATTCCATGTATTCCGATGATTATACCATGAATATATCCAATCTATTTTTTTTGGATTGGCGATGATTGGCGCTACTGGTTGGTAGGAACTCAACAATGATTGATTACATTGATTTGGACTGAACCAAAGATGAAATGTTTAATGCATCTTAATACAATCTAGTACCTATCTGAGATTACCTGGTCGGCAATTTCCATCCAAACAAGCCCCTGTCGTCACTATCATCCTAAGCAGGACTGGAACAATACAATAATAAACCCACCGAAGAACAGCTGCTACTGTCTCAAAATGCTGGATACCCGATACCCTCAGGATACCCTCCGGTTTTTTCAAACGTGGCAATGGACAATTCACCATAGATGATCTTCCCTATTCCCATGAAAAAAACATCCATTTCATTCGGGGGTTTCCCAGCTTGCCACGTGATGACACTGGAGTCTATCTCTTATGTATCTCGATGTTGCCATTCTCATATGGGGGAAAACTTCCTCTTCCAAGCCACGAAAGTGGATGGACTTTGTGTCAGTGGATTTTATGGGATGCCTTGTTTCCAAACAAACCCTCTATGATATCAATGATATCCTCAGGTAAACCCAATGATATTTTATGGGATTATCCTCATAAAAACCTTATAAAATCTTTGGTTTCACTTATGCCAAAGACTTGGGAATGGCAGGGAGTCTACAGCATGGCGACCCCCCCTGCGGTTTCGCTCCGAATAGACCACGCAATTTCGTGAGCCGTGCAGGTTCTGCAGATGGGATTCAATGGAGAGATCGTGGCAGAATATACAGCATGGCAGATAGCCAACATTAGCCAACAATGGTCCAATTTGGAATGTTCAAAAATGGGATCTGCTGGGAGATTCAACATTGCTTGATTTTTTGAGAAAGCAAGAAAAATAGAGGTGTATCTCCAATCCAATTGATTCAGGAAAGTGATGAACATTGGCTTTGTTCAAGAATGGGGATACCCCCGCACAATTGCGATTGTAGTGGAAGCATGATGATTAGCCATGGATGGGGTCACTCCATGTTCAATCAAAGACTAATACGTGCCACGTGTCGCCTCCGCCTCGAACCTTGGGGTAGTGGGAAATGGTTGATTTTCAAACAAAGCCAGTTGTAAAGATCAATCAAGGAAGGGCATAGCGGCATCATGTGATGAAGAAAGACTCTTGATTGGCAACTGATTCATGCAAAATAATGATTCTTTGCCTGTTTGGTTTAGACTTCTTGGCTCAGAACCAGATCCCATGGGAGCTGATGCGTTTGGGCCCAAACTACCCACCACCACTTTCCCATTGGCTCATCGTGGGAAAACCAACAAGAATTATTGCCAATGCACCCCTAATCCACCGCCCCTATATTTTTGTTTGAAGGTTTAATCAGTCCAAGTTAAGTCAGGGTCATGTGGAAGGCGTCGATGTCATTTTGTGACTACTTGCAACTACTGCACACCAAATTTGACTCGGCAAAATGACTCATGTTCCTCACTTTCCCTCTCTTCCTAAGACACCAGAAAACCTGCAGGAAACTCACATACAAAGGTCACAATCCCAGTCAAATGTGAACTCACTCTGAATGCTGGTGTTTTTTCAGTTCGCACCTGCAAATCCGCAATCTTGGGATCGATGTCAGGAGTGCATTCCTGCGAACGGACAGGTTTTTGCTGCGGTAAACGATGCCACATTCATTGGGACATGATACAAATTGATACAAGTACTGCAAAAATCATCAACAATCAAAAATCATCAGCCATGGGAAAGAAATCAAACAATGCATGCAGTGGTTGTCATGCTCCCAAAACCCCAACTACAAGGCGGGGTTCTGAAATCACCCGCAACTGCGCCAGGTTTAGCCGAAAAAACAAAAACCAAATGGGCCGATCCTTGCGCACCCCAGTCAGGAAGTGGTGGATAACACATATATGCCTATACCACGATAAAAATACATATATCATAGATTTAAATGTAAATATGTATTTATATATATAATATATATATGTACATATATATATATATATGTATATATATACACCTGGAGTCTCCACTACCCTTCGTTTTTGGGGTCGTTTGCAAAACACCCCTTTTTTGGGTACGTTTGATACTTTTTGGGGTCGTTTCATGCAAAAAAGGCCTTTTATCTTCCAAGCAGGTGCTGGCTATATACACTAAGCATTACTAAGCTAAATCATGTGAGCGTTTTGTTCTTGTCCTGTGTAATGTTGGATCAGGCACCCTCACACATCATTCAGACCCAGGCGCATAACTAAAACTTCATGGCTGAAAAGCTTTGGATCCACAATTCGTGTCGAAATATAAAACCTTCGCCTGCTTTTGATAATGAGCTGCGGGGGCAAACATTTGCACATTGCGACACTTATGCGAAAATATACACGGAGTTTGAGCACATCCACTCGCCCAAATCTTCTGGTGCCAGCTGCTGAAACAGGTTTGACGGATGGACGGACGGACGTGAAAAAAAAGGTGCGTTTCTTGGAAAAAAGTCCTTTTGGTTCGGACGGGTCCAAGCCGGACGGATATTTCCGTACTTTGGACGCATTTTTCTGTACTTTCGGATGCCGTCCCGACCGCCCTCAGCAAAAAAAGGTACGTTTGAAGAAAAAAGGCCTTTGCATGTTTGCGTTGTATGGGCAAATCTTCCAAGGACAAGTTGTCACCAAAATTGAGCAATTCACCCGCGTGTCCGCAACTGAGTGTTGAGACCTACCCTCATGCGTGCAATAATGAAAGAGCAAAGCGCGTCCAAAACCCAAAGCAAGCAAGATCGAAACCATGGCATCAAACACGTAAACGAGAACCAATAGTTTGGAAATCTTTGATCCTGCACCTTCAAGCAGCCAAAACAAAAATGGCACCTGCAACAATGAGTTGCAAGTTGGCAATGTGGCACATTTATTTGATTTCCACAGTTTCAGCTGTACCTCCATGAGTGAACATCACTAACATGCAAAAAACAGTACTTGATTTCAAAAAAAGTACGTTCGGAAAAAATGCCATTTTTCTTGAAAGACGCTAAAAATTAAGGGTCGTTGGAGAGTCAAGGTACATACATAGATGTACATATGCGTATATGTAAATATGTATATACATGTACATATATAAATTAATAAATAAATAAATGAAAACATATGTCTGTATGTATGTATGTATGTATGCATACATGTATGTCTGCATAAATGTACATGTATATATGGTTTGGCGTCTGTTTTGGGCGTTTTTTTTTGCGTCACTTTAGGAAATTCGAAGTTAGTGCTCGAACCATGTATTTAGCGTATGTTCAAGTCATATGCGTTGCTCACGGAGCTAAAGGATGGGATCAGATGCATCACATGCACGGTGCCAAAGCTGACCTTATCTATTTATTATATTTATTATCCTTACTCATATATTACTATTTATTATTAAGAGTTCATTTCCTACTACTTTTGTCTATTTATTGTTGTCGATGTTTTTGAAATTTATCTATTAGTATTAACTATTAAGGTTTTGCAGCCGATAAGGGGCCTTTGGAATTTGATTCTAGGGTCCTTGGTGATTAGTTCTACCTCTGATTGTGTGATATATGTTTTCCAACATTTATTTCTTCATCTATCTTATCTATCAAGGTAGGTGGCCTTGGTATATACTAGCGGCACTAGCGATTTTTGTCTTAAAGGAAAAATCGTTTTGGGTTGGTGTCCCTTGGCTGTTTAAATATTATTAATTCTTATCCGTCATTCGGCAGTCATGCCAAGAAGGGGATTGATAATTATCATCTCCATCCATTTACCCTTCTACTCGTGGAAGTACCAGTCAGAACAAACGATCACCAATTCGATCGTAGTTCAGATATTTTTTTTGGGTTGAGTACTAATAAGATAAAATATAAAGTAAAATATTGTTATGCGACGGATTTGCAGTGGCGATGGGTTTGGGGTCCCCCGAGCCAAAAGATCGGCTTTTTTTTGGCCTAAATCTCAAAATGAAGGACCCTGAATCCATTGCTGGAAAAATCATAGTAGAATATAATAGTAAGGCTGGTTCCTAAGTCCACATGGAAATTTCTGCACCCTGATATCGGCAAGCTGTTGAAGATCGCTGGCGCTTCTGGGGGCTTTCTGGGTCAAGAAGTCGAAGCCTCGGTCGAGATCTTCATCTTCTAGTTCATCAAACGCCTTGTTTTTTTTGCTATTGCGTACCTCAGCACTGAGATCAAAGCATCGGAACTGCCTGCCGCCCATGTTCTGCAGGCAATACTGGAGAGTATGTCGTACCACTGTCGGCTTAGCCTGCATGTAGTTGGGCTTATGCACTGTTCCATATACCAAGTTCTTGATGACAGCGACCTTGCACTTTTGGGGGAAGTTATATTTGTATATTTCTATACGTGTATATGTATATATGTATATATACATATGTATATATGTATATATGTATATGTGTATATGTGTATATGTGTATATGTATAATTATATATATATATATATATATGTGTATATATGTATATATGTATGTATGTAAATATGTATAAGTATATATGCATATGTATATATGTATATGTATATATGTACATATGTAAATATGTATATTTGCACATATGTATTTATATACACATATATATATAAATATGTAAATATGTAAACATGTATATATGTCCCTATGTATATATGTATACATGTCTATATGTAGATATGTATATATGTATGTGTACATATATATATATATGTATGTAAATGTATATGTATATATATATGTGTGTATGTATACATATAAATGTACATATATTTATATATGTATGTATATGTAAATATGTATACATATATCTATACATATACATATACATATGTATATATGTACAATATATATATATATACATATATATATATATATACACATACACATTTACATAGATATATATATATAAAAATATGAATTATATATGTATATATGTGTATACATATAATATATACACGTATATATATATATATATCGAATCTACGCACATTAGCTTTATCATACCTACACCTACACATAACTCGAGATATTCCATAGATAATTGGAGTGCAATAGGGTTATTATCCAGCGATTCCCATGATGTTCCCATGCCTCGTCGTCGGTGGCTGGATTTAAAGGTGCCAAGAAGGAGCATTCTGCGCGGCAAGCGGAAAGGGAGCTGGTTGAGTTATGGGAATTTCCACCATGGGATTTCAAATTAATCCCCTTATGTATTAGCTGCAAGATATATGTATTGGTTTATAATTAAACCCTATGAAATAACTACGGTAACTACATTTAAGTATACGGACTTTTAAATATACGAACAGGTATTTTAGACTACCTCCGGAAGGTTTTCCTTGGCCCGCCGGGCCATTTAAACATACGGAATCCCATTCATTTATACATACCGAACTACATTTAAATATACAAACTTGTATTTAATACTACCTCCGGGGCCTCGCGGTCTGGCCCGCCCTCCACATATTTAAATATATTCAACTGTCGTTACGGTAAAGATATCTATAGAATGATCTACAGTTAGTTGTCTTCACCATAAACCATAGTTAAGTTGGATCTAAATTCAAAACCAACATAACTATCTAAGGGGTTAAAACCTTGTAGTTTATAAGAACCCAATCTTTTAATCTGCAGTAACAAATTGGTATTTTGGGCACCGCACAAATAAGGATCAAGTGACTACAACCGGACCAGTTTGCGCTACTTGTGGATGGTTTGATGTGGGTTCGATTTCGGTTAGCTTAAACATACTTAATTATCTTAATTAAAACATACATGATTTTATATTTTGGTGTATTTGAGTCTTGGCCAGGGTGATACCCAAGCCATGTCTAGGCATATTTGCCAGGACAATTTGTATGTGATCAAATGTGTCCTCTCAGAGTGCCAAACCGCCATCGAACCAACATGCGCTTGTTTCTGTTTCCGGAACCGATTTGCAATCTTCACTGGTCAACAACCCGGGAAAAAAACAAAAACAGGAACATGACCTAGAACACTTGACAGACCAACTTGGATGGTTGAATAATAAGAACCAGTAACCTTGTTCAGAAAAAGAGTCCGCTGACCAATATAATGATCTAGAGACATGTTTGTTTCTGTGCTTAAAGGCTTAAATTGTTCATCAACTTAACTTCAAACAAATTTTGACGATTTCTACCAGATTTCACCAGCAAATTTGGGTCAGTCTTTTAATGTGTGTGTGTGCGTGTGTTTAGAATTATATATATATATACATGCATATGGACATTTCCTGAAATGGGGGTACCCGCAGATCATCCAAAATTAAACCATTTTAGTATCGAAAACTGAAAACCATGGTTTTGCGGATCTTCCGTAGGAAACCTCCGAATCTCATTGAAGTAGTTCAATTCATCTACCCATAACTACTTCAAATAGATTCATGAATTATATTTCGGATATCCCCCGGCTACTTTTGGGAGTTATATATCAAGTAACTTGCCATGTGGGGGCCACTTAGGTCATAGCATCAATTCCTTGCGGGCCTTGCGTCAGAGCTGGCGGGGTTCCTCCAGGACATCCCGGAGGAGCCAGTGAACCTGCCCAGGTGGTAGCGGTTTCGGGGTTTCGGCCCTCGGAAGCAATGGTGTTTTAATGGGATATGTATGGGTATTTTTATGGTTTATATTTGTTTCTGATTGTGATGAGGAAAATAAGTTTTTAAGTGGCAGGGTGATATTTCATGATGTTTTCTTCTTAATTCATGGCTTATGGGGTTCAACCCCATTTAAAAAGAGAAACCAACGAACCCGAATGCAGTCACGTAAAACACCTGCGCAAAACAAATTATTTCAACAGTCTAGTTAGTACATGTTAGTACATTTTCCCTGTGTTACCGTACCAGTCTACACTGTAGAGGTGGAATGGGGTGGATTGCAGAGTGTGCAGTGTGAAGGCAATTACGAAAGTGGAATGTTGAGTGGGAATCGCAATGTGCAAGGTATGAAGTGGGGATTGTGGGGTGTAAAGTGTAGAGTGTAAAGTGTGGATTGTAAAGTGTAAATGTGGAAAGTGGGGTGCAAAATGTAAAGTGTAAAGTTTTGAATGTGGAGAGTGGAGTGTAGAGTGTGGAGTGTGCAGTGTAAAGTAGTGTGGAGTATCAAGTGTAAAGTGTGCAGTGTTTAGTGTAGAGTGCAGAGTCTGGAGTGTGAAGTGTAGAGTGTAGAGTGTAGAGTGTGTGGTGTCAAGTGCGAAGTGCGAAGTGTGAAGTGTACAGTGTAAAGTGTAGAGTGTGGAGTGCAAATTGTAGAGTGTGACATGTAAAGTGTAAAGTGTAGTAGTGTGTGGATTGTAAAGTGTAGAGTGTGAAGATTGGAGTGTAGAGTGTAAAGTGTAGAGGTGTAGAGTGTAAAGTGTACCGAGTAAAGTGTAGATTGTGGATAGGAGAGTGTGAAGTCTAAAATGTAGTGTGTCAAGTGTATAGTGTGAAATGTAGGTGTAGAGTGTGGAATGTAAAGTGTAGGGTGCGGAGTGTGGAATGTAAATTGTAGGGTGCAGAGTGTAAAGTGTAACATGGAAAGTGTAGAGTGTGGAGTGTGGAGTGTGGATTGTAAAGTGTAAGGTGTAGAGTGAAGAGTGTGGATTGTAAAGTGTAGAGTGTAGAGTGTGCTGTGGAGTGTAAAGTGTAAAGTGTGGAGTGTGAAGTGTAAAGTGTAGATTGCGAAGTGTAAAGTGTAGAGTGTAAAGTGTGGAGTGTAGAGTGTGGATTGTGGAGTGTAAGGTGTAAGGTGTAAGGTGTAAAGTGAGCAGTAAAAAGTGTAGTGTGTAAAGTGTGGATTGGAAAGTTTATAGTGTGGAGTGGAAAGTGTAACGAGTAGAGTGAAGAGTGTGGAGTTTCAGGTGTAAATTGTAAAGTGTAGAGTGTAGAGTGTGGAGTCTGGAGTGTGAAGTGTAGTGTGGAGTGTGGAGTGTCATGTGTACAGTGTAGCGTGTAGAAGAGGTGGAGTTTAAAGTGTAAAGTGTCAAGTGTACAGTGTAACGTGTAGAGTGTCAAGTGTGGACTGTAAAGTTTGAAGTGTAGAGTGTGGAGTATAAAGTGTAGAGTGTAAAGTGCAAAGTGTGGAGTGTATACTGTGGAGTGTGGAGTGTAAACTGTAGAGTAAAGAGTGCAGAGCAAAGAGTGTGGGTGCCAAATGTAAAGCGCGTGTAGCATGTGGAGTGTGGAGTGTAAAGTGTAAAGTGTGGAGATTGGAGCGTAAAGTTTCAAGATGTGTAAAGATGGGTAAAGTGTAGAGTGTAGATTGTCAAGTGTAGTGCGAAGTGTAAAGTGTACTGTGTAAAGGTAGAGTGTGGATCGGAGAGTGTGAAGTGGAAAGTATAGAGTGTGGATGGTGGAGAGTGAATTGCAAAGTGTAGGGTGTGGAATATAAAGTGCACAGGGCGAAGTGCAACGTGTAAAGTGTACATTGTGGAGTGATGTGGAGTGTAAAGTGTGAAGTGTAGAGTGTGGAGTGCAAAGTGTGAAGTGTGGAGTGTAAAGTGTAACGTGTAAAGTGTAGAGTGTGGAGTGTAAAGTGTGAAGTGTGAAGTGTGGAGTGTGAAGTGTGAAGTGTAGAGTGTGGCATGTCAAGTGTGGAGAGTGGAGTGTCAAGTGTAAAGTGTGAAGTGTAAAGTGTAGAGTGTTGAGTGTGGAGGGTAAAGTGTAGGGTGCGAAGTGTAAAGTGTAGAATGTGGAGTGACGCAAAAGTATTGCGCATGTCACACAGAACGGCTTTCGACGCGTTTTAAAACATGTTGGGATGTCACAAAGTGCCACGCCTGCCACACGACGAGGTTACGCAATGATTGAAAACTCCAAAAGTGACCACTTTTGCAGCACTCCCCTGCCAGAAGCAGGGCCATAGCGCAATCATCGCTAACGGTTGCAAACAGTTGCGGTTACAGAAGCGGCGCCAAGCGAACACGCCTCCACCCCCAGACCCCCAAAGTAAAACGAGAACCCTTCGCTACGCATTCGGGAAACATGTGATTTCATGAGGTATTAGATATATATATATATATAATATATATATATATATAATATATAATATATATATATGTCCCATGACCAACCAACTGCAATCATGGATCTGGATCCAGCCGTACCTTCTGGGGAAGTATTTGAGGTATGATTTGGTGGGTTAAGTCCCTTCTCAACAAGTATTTGGATCCACAGGGTATGGATAGTGGGAATATTCCCACCCCCCTTTCAACGAAACCATGCTGGATGTACGCGGTACGATACAATGGGGCTGTTTGAATATTGGGGGGTGCGAATAATATTTACATAATCAATGGATAATGCTAGTATTGTATGGAAAATCATGAACTGCATGGCTCATTAGACCAGAGAAAAAGCTTTGAATACAGGCTGTGTATACCGAGTCCCGGCAGGATCGTGCGCGACTCGAGTCAGCTATGAAGCTATTAGCACAGGCTGTTAAGCTATTAAGCTGCTAAGCTATTAAGCTGTTAAGCTATTGAACTGTTAAGCTATTGAACTGTTAAGCTGTTTGTGTAATAGCTTAATAGCTTAATCGCTTGTTCTAGTAGCTTAATCGCTTAATCGCTTGTTCTAGCAGCTCAATCGCTTAATCGCTTGTTCTAGCAGCTCAATCGCTTAATCGCTTGTTCTAGCAGCTCAATCGCTTGATCGCTTGTTCTAGCAGCTTAATCGCTTAATCACTTGTTCTAGTAGCTTAATTGCTTAATCGCTTGTTCTAGCAGCTCAATCGCTTGATCGCTTGTTCTAGCAGCTTAATCGCTGAATCACTTGTTCTAGTTGCTTAATCGCTTAATCGCTTCTCCTGGTAGCTTTATCGTTTAAACGTGTTTGTTCTAGTATCTTGGTCGCTTGTTTTGTAATTTAATATCTTAATTTAGCTTCATCGCTTGTTCTGATAGCTTGAAAGCTTGATAGCTTATTCTAATAGCTGAATAGCTTGATAGCTTTTTCTGATAGCTTAATGGCTTGAAAAGAGTTGCGGGACAACCCTGCTGGCGCAATGTGTGCAGATAATTCTTACGAAATTGCTTCTTAATTTGCCAGATGAGGATTTTCTAAGAACAAAGTATTGTTACCACAGAATGGGAATCCTTGGTCCTTCACCATAAGTTCATTAGCGTCGTATTATTGGGGGAAACATGCCCATGTTGGGTGCACATGCCGACTGATCATGGGAGATGTTGTGCATCAGGGCGGCATATGTTGATGGCTCACAGATTTGGCGAGATGTCAATGATTCACCAGAGCAAACCAAACTTTCTATAATCAGAAGATAGGAATGGGGTCAAGATGGGTCAAGATGGGTCAAGGTACAAGAAACAACTTGGGTAGCCTGAGCAGATCATACCATGACATACCATGACAAGAGTCCAAAGGCATCAGCGTCCCAACCATCCATTGGGGTTGACATCAGTCTAGGCGTAGGAGTAAACCCCATGGAAGACTAGCTCAATAATGTAAAACATTGCAAAGCTATGTTAATATGATTATTAAATGATTATTATATGATATCAAATGAATGAATTGTCCAGTTGTGCTGTCCTTCCACCATGGGTTCTCATGGATTTAAACTAAACAAACTAGTGGGGTCATTGACTGTTGGATGTTTTTGCTTTCACCTCACCTCAACAGACCCGGCCATTGGCGCATTGGCCGTGCCACTTGCCTGAACTGATGCATTGGTTGCACAAAGCCGTGTGCTGTGCGGCTGTAAAGAGCATCCTGCCACCTAAAGCGTCGCAACCGGCTGGGCGCTTGGAAACAGAAACTTGGCTGGGAAGCCCGAACTGTGGATGGTTGGGATGATCATCCCCAATGGCATGTCCAAAAATGTCCAAGAATGATAGGTGGATACACCGCAATGGCAGTTTGAATGGGGCAAATCGCTTGCCCCAAACCGTTCGTCAGCTAGCTGAGGCTAGCTGGAAAACCCCCAGCCATGGTTTGATGATTTTCCCGGCTATGAATGGGCTATATATATATATAGGCTATAGGGTTCAAAACACTATTTTAAGAACAGTCTTTCCCTCAAAGACTATTCTTTCATATAGCCAAATAGTCTTTCATGAATCACACCTAATCACGCTTAATCACGCTTGAACGTCGTTCAAGCGTGATTAACTTGAACGTGGTGCAACATGGTGCACATGCATTTTTTTCTCAGCCATGTATGCACAGATCATTTTTGCCAAGTGCCCCTCGTCCTTGGATAAGAAACCAAATGATTGCAACAAAAGGGCCAAATGATGTTGCACAATGTTGCACACACATTGAACGTTGCGAGCACAATTGTTTCAAAGTAGCTCCAAAAAGATGTCATTATTTAAATTAAATATTTTACATCTTTCCCTCTCTCTCTCAGCCCTGTGAGCTGCTTTTTCAAGCAACTTTGCGCTTTTTCGCTCACAGCCCTCTTATCATAAAGGATCTCGAAAATGGCTATCAGATCAATCAGGCTATCCAATGGCTGTCAAATATGCTGTTGAAAAAAAAATATCAATGGAATCCCCAAACAATGCTAATCTATGCTAATTTTAGCACTTTTTGGGGGTTCGTCGTTCACGCCCAAAGCCGGTCTTTCACGCCCAAAAATAGTCTTTCACGCTCGAATCACGCTCAATCACGCTCCAATCACGCTACCTTTTCTTGGCAAAACCTATCTTTTTGGGTTCAACATGGTAGTTTATGGCCAAAAAAGGGTATCGTGATTAGAGTTAATGATTAGAGCATCCTTTCACCATTAGATTTCATTTTGTAATTTTCAGAATTACTTGTATGTGTTTAAGGGTGATTATGTAAATGGCAAAATGGGAAAAATATCTGAAGATCAAATCGGCAATTTTTCCGGGCAGTTGTATCAGCTTCAAGCGCATCTTTTTTGTCACACACACCCCATCAACAAGCAGTGTTGAACTCGTTGGGTACCACAAGTCGAGACTCGTTTAAAGTTTTAGAACCAAAATCATTTTTCCATGGTGGGTCTGAGGTGGAATTGGATCGATATATAAATCCAAATTACCAACCATATCAACCATCTACCTGATGAAGATGCGGGGGAAAGCACTTGCGAGCCAAAATGTACCCCAGCATATAGGTTTCTAAAAACAGTCTTTCGTCTTTAGTCCCTCGCGAAGAACGGTCCCAAAAACAGTCTTTGACATCCAGGCTATCCCTCCAATAATCACACATGGCAATCGAAAATCATCTATTGAATTAGATGCTTTTGTCATTAACACCCCCTACAACTAGGATTTTCACGCCACCCAAGTTTGATAACGCCAGAGGGTAGTCAGGAGGATCTGGGATGACTCTCTAGGACACTAGGAATGAGGGTAACAACCTGGCATATTTCCAGCAAGCCAAGTCGATTTTGAGATACACCCGTATTTCCAAGATGTTCCAAGCATCCACACCCTTGAGGGTTCAACATTCCACGTGGGAGAGATGATTTGATCGCGCAACACGAATGTTGCTTTTAATGCCAAAATCATGCCAAAATCTACTGACTATGCTGCATCTGATCATGATCATTCCCTCAAATCCTGAATCCACCTGAGCCGCGCGAAAATTATTATTTGGTACAAGACGCAAGTCACGGGGTTTTCCTACCTCGTTCTCGGGTCCAGTAACGTTTTTTGGGGTCTGACCTCGTTCTCCAATGCCGCACTTGTTTTTAATAGCTAACTGCTTTGCGTGCGATGCCTACCTCTTTCTCGGGGTCTACCTCGTTTTGCAACCCAACTATGATCTTTTCGACAAACCGGGGTACGACACAATACTTTCCTCCATTTAACCAAATATGGACTACATCTTCCAACTTCAACGAGCACACCCCAAGTCGTCAAATTTGAACACCTCGACCATCGGTCGCCAAGGTACTGTCAGGCGCAATGTACTCGTTCCGAAGCTCGGGACTTCCACAAATACCTTCTGCTGTGAGGTCCTTGCCGAGGGAAAAATCTCATGGCCTTCCTTTTGTTGCGGAAAAAGCATGAAAAAGGGCGGGTTTACCCAGAAAACATGAAGAAAATCATGGCAAAAACCTATCATTTTGGAGTAACAACCCCAACACATATATCACCTTAAGAATATGACCTGGAAAACAACCATGGGAAACGCCAAAAGCGACTTGACCGTTCGTGATGTTATGTGTGACATCATATCCCCTTCACATACACATGAGCGCAGTACAACGCGAGTTGACGGAGTGTCTTCGGCCAATGTAGAATCCTGATATATGTTGCCATGAATAATCACCATAATCAGTGAACTCCTTCTTTGGTTTCAATCCATTGCTGTTCAAACGATACTAAGCCGTTATCATTGTTGCTTAGTATTAGTATCTTGGTCTGTGCTTCAAAATCCGCTTATGCAACTCCATATTTTCTTGGACACACCCATTTTCCTACGTGACCCGCCAACAAGGTCTATCTGAAAATACTCCAGCGTTCCACCGCCACATGGTTAAGGATGTGTTATCTATCCCAGTCCCAATACATCCATCAAAAACACATACTAACAAATCATGAAATACCACAAATATCCACAAATTACCATGAAACCCCATTAAATCCCATAAATATAATGAAAATGCCATGAACATCCATTACTATCAGCTAATTTCCTTTGTTTGCTGGTTAATTTAAATCCAGTCAAAATCATTCAAAATCGAAAAAATACAACATTTGTGAACAAATTGTGGATCCATCACCAATTCTTCTATACTAAATCGATCCACCCGCATGAACAAAACAACCCGCGCCTCGTTGTAGACCTTGATCTTCACGTTGTGCATGTGCCCTGGAGAAGGACAACAGCTTGGCATATGTAATATAGTATGATTTTATAATATTATAATGTATAATATATTAAATTATATTATGTATTATTATTATGTATTATGTATTGTTATGTATTATGTATTGAGGAACAAATGTGATTTGCCGTGCCATGAACAAAATAGATATAGAGGGATTATCGGCCGGTTTTTTCATGGAATATCTATCATACATAATTCAAAGTGGGGCCCCCGTTGTGAAGCTTTTCATTGTCATCCATCCAACTGCAGATACCATCTGGTTATTTCACATAGCCATGGAAAATCACCATTTTTAATAGGTAAACCTCTATAAATGGGCCATTTCCCATGGCTATGTTAAATAACCAGAGGGTATATCCACAATAAGCCCCTGGTGCCCACCTTCTAGCGAAGTCTTCACAGTCACTGAGGCATGGAAAACGAATGTGCCAGGTTAGATTGCCGAGAAAACCAAGCGGTCGGGCAACCAACAACCCAGCAATTTATCGTTGCTTATCTACTAGGGAGGTAATTCACCAACAAAGCAAGAAAAAACATGAACAACTCAAGAGCTTCCTAACGGAAGAGTAAACTATCAAAAACAGAAAACAAACGTGCAAATCAGAAACATTGTGCAAGACACGTATTTTTAGACCGTTCAATCCATAGGTTTCCCGCTCCACTCGCCTGGATTTTTGCTCATTGTCCTAAGCGGCAAGGGAGGTGACAAGGATATTGGCCCCCATCCAGCTGTGCAAAGGTGTTGACATTTTTATTTCAGAGTGGAAAAGGAAAGTCAGCGACATTCTGGCCCTTTGCAGGATCTCCAAACTCTCAAGCCAGCTTTGTCGATGTTTGTCTCTGTGAATTGGAATTCTTGACATCCTCAAATGACGTACCCCTGACGATGGTCCCTGTGCTCTGCAAACAGCTCCCTCTAGATTGGCATCTGGCAACCCTGTGTCTTTTTTGCAGCGACAACGGCCAAATCTGAAGCCAAAGAAGGGAATGGATCCCTGAGAATTTCTGAGATCTCTTGAGCCAAGCGTCTTCACATTCACATTGAGAAATGCGCATTTGTCGTCGCCTGAAACTTCGGCGTGGCGTGGCTGAAAAAGGTGTAGCCGCTTGAGAATGATAAGGGACGGCCGGTTTCCGAGGAAGCGACAGACAAGGTGCTTGAGATGATATTGGCACACAAGAGAAACTGTATAGTATAGAATGGCAGCTCCCTATTTTTCGGGGTCACAACTGCCACTGCCGAGAAGCTGTAGATGTTTACTCCCTGTGAATCGCGATGGATCGAATCACTAGGCTCTACCTGGCAGCGTGGTGCCATCCATGATGCGAACAGGTGCTTGATGTATGATCGATCCCTTGACACCCCAGAAGGTGACATGATACCCCATGAGAAATGGCAACTTTCATGGGTAAAATGGCGTTGCAACCTGGGTATACAGGCTGTCCGGCTATCCTCATTTCTGTTGCTTAACCCCCCCTCTTCCGCTGCATTCTCACATTTGACATACCAACACTACCCTCTCGCAATTTCACATAGAGATTTACCTGTTCAAAATGATGTTCAATAGCCAACTGTTAAATTACCAGGGGGTAATCCAATCAAAGCCATTCAAAACCCCCAGCTGATCTCCATCCCCAAAATATTCCAGGTGTTTTTCTGGTCAAAAATTAACAATGCCTATTCTTGGCGGGGAAAACCAACCCACAATAAAAAGCAAAGCCATATCTTTCCCGAACCCCAACCCCCTCCCCCATCTATTCCTATCGCATCTTGGTACATCTCTATTAACATCCCATCGATATGGTTGGGAAAACCCACAAAATGACCCCATCATCATCCCATCCCATCCCCATCCTATTTCGTAAATAGTAACTCCCTATTAAAATCCACATCTTTGGTTGGTGAAATCCTATGAAAATGCAATCATTCCCCCATCTTTATATAGCTATGCTATATCATATCCATTATATAACCCATCAAATCCCCATCACAATTTAATGGCTATTTAATGAATATATCAATGGGGATATGATGGGTATTTCATGTTTTTTTTTTTGGTTAGCAATAATTCATACCCATCAAATTACCCCATCCCTCCATCCATCCATCCCCTAACCCCATCCCCTAACCTGGGAGCTTCCCGCCATCTCGATGCTGCGTTTGTTGACGAAGACCCTGGCGCCGTTGTTCAGCCGCACCACCACGCCGGTGACCACGGAGTTGCGACCGCTCTTGTACTGACCTCGACCGAAAAAGGTGACCACGGGGGTTGGGACAGCCTGCTTTAATAGGGGATGGCATGAGTCGATTTGTATGAGGAGTCAAGTTGAGTTAAGCTGATGTAACCATCAACATTTGGGTCAAGGACAAGAATTAAGGGATGGGATTCGAATAGAATCATGTGGAACACAAACATTTTTCAGATGTAGGTGCAGAAATGGATGGAAAATGAGAAATGTGTTTCGATCTTATGGAACAAAAATAGAACAAACATATTGCATGGTCGACCATGCAGTGCACCGCAAGACAACCACCCGCTGTCCAGGCTGTCCACCTTGACAGTCCAAATCTTGGCCAGTCCGCCATGTTTTTTTTCCCCAAACCATAAGTAGCTGTTTCTCGAGACTCAATGATATCTGTAATATTGAAAAGGAACATCCAGCAATGTCCTTAGGTGTCCCTTCTTCGTCACATGCTTCTTGCAGTCTCTTTGATCACATGAAGGTTGCCAATAGTTTAGCAGTGTCAAAATGATAAGGACATCGTCATTGACACAGCCATAAATTCGGGGTTGTATTCCCATCTTCAAACAGACCCAAATATCATAGTATTGCTTGTATACTGTATGCTGTATACCCTAGTTATATGTATATATATATATACACACCATATAACGACAATCACTTAGAACCAGTTTTACCAAAATGTTCTGACTCCAAACTTAGAAACCCACCAAACCTCCACACTTAGAACCCAGGGTTCTATCTGTGAGGTTTTTTTTTGACATCAGGTTCTTACTGTGAGCACTCGCAAGGACACAAAAATATGTGAGTTTGCACTGCACGGGTTCATGTACAGAAGTATCTATGATATAATATATGATAATATATGTATATTTGTGAATATGTGTACGTATTCAAAGAGGTTCTAGGTGTGAGCACCCGCCAGGTCACAAACATATGTCAGTTTGCATAACTTGACTTGGGTTTACATACAGAAGTATCTATGACATAATGTATGTATACTTGTGAAAAACTTGTGAATATATGTATGCCTACAAAGAGGTTCTAAGTGTGAGTGCCTATAAGGGCAAAAGATGGCAAAGGCATGTCTGGGATAACATTTACATAAAAATAATATGTTCGGTGTTCTAACTGTGGTGATTTGTTGAGTTTCAAACTGTGGGAACATGTGACAACACATTACCTGACGATTTTTTGTTTTTTCCAAAATAGGTTCAAAGTGATTGTCGCATCCCCCATTGTTGAGGCTTAAACCATATAGAGCTGCTGAGCTGATGCTGGTCCCGATGTTCAAATCCCCATGGTGTTTTGAAATATCGCTCAAGTTTTCACCGATAAATCATAAATACCATTAATTAATTATAGATCCAATAGAGAGGTTCCCACTATTTTTTGTGGTTTCAAATGATCTTGGTCTAAGCAGTGAGTATGATGCAACCAACAGCTTGAGTTGTGGGCACTATTCTGTCAAAAATTTGTTGGTTTTGTGGTGGACGTACGCATGATGTCCCAAATTCCTTGTTTTTTCCCAAGCAAACCAGTTTTTGGGCAATCGTTGTGTACCAAGTAGGTAGGGTTGACATTGAATAGCAGCAGCAGCAGCAGCAGCAGCAGCAACAGCAACAGCAACAGCAACAGCAACACAAACAACAACGACAACGACAACAACGACAACAACAACAACAACCACAGCCACAGCCACAGCCACAACCACAACCACAACCAACAACAACAACAACAACAGCAACAACAACAACAACAACAACAGCAACAACAACAACAACCACAACCACAACAACCACAACAACCACAACAACCACAACAACCACAACAACCACAACAACCACAACAACCACAACAACCAGAACAACCAAAACAACCAGAACAACCAGAACAACCAGAACAACAATATACAACAATATACAACAATATACAACAATATACAACAATGACAACAAGAAGAACAAGAACAACACAACCAACAAGAACAACAAGCACAACAAAAACAACAAGAACAACAAGAAGAACAGCAACAGCCCAAACCACAACCGCAACCACAAGCACCACCATAACCCCATCCACAACCACAACCCCAACCCCAACCACAACCCCCAACCACAACCCCAACCACAACAACAACCCCAACCACAACTACAACCCCAACCCACAACCCCAACCGCATTCGTTGGCCATCTTTAAGTTGAGTTCCCCATAATCGCACCCATCTCACAGAGGTCTGAGTGGCATTGGAACATTTGCACTTCAAAGCTTCCACCAGCGCAGACGCCCATGGTAGCATAGCGATAGATTCCCGTACCTGGCTTGCCCCGTCTGTTTGGCCCAGGGGGATCCCAAGGATAATGAGTGGATGGGACGAGTGATGATGATTGACCCCCGTCATTTCGTGGGGTTGGCCGGCAATATCTTGGTGTCCTCCAGTGGTCACATTGGATGTTGCGAGCGCATGCAAGGGTAAGGAGAGGCGAGAGATAATTTTTGGCTTGCTTCACCGCGAAGTCGATGACGCAAGAATGCCCTCATCGAAGCTTAGCCAGATGAGGAGCACAGTTCGATAGAGTGGACCTAAGTGAACCTTGTTCCTTAGCAAAACGAGGGTATGGAGAGGCCACGGAGAGGCCTCAGGATGCCTCAGGGCAAAGTTAAAACCAGCAGCCAGGCAACAGGGAGTATTGAAAACCTCAACCTGACTCAGCTGTCTCAGAGGAGAATTCTCTGCTGTGTGTTGGATCAACCGAGAAATTCTATGGCATTAGTGAGTACCAAATTATTCCATTTTCATACCAGCCATGTTGTTATGAAAATAGATGAACATGGTAGTTATGCTAAACAACTAAATACTGTAATCACATTACAAGATGTACCCTTACATTTCCCCGAGAAACATGTTGGCTATTCCCCAAACTAATCCCTTTTGCAATTTGTCCAGATTGCTTGGGGTTGATGTTCTAAAACTGCTGAATATTGGGGATTACTGGGATTACTATCAAGCAACCAAGCATCCCCACTGCTGGTCAGTAAGTCTAAAAACAAATCACCAATGAGATTGTCACCATATCGCCGGCTACTGCTGGTTAAACCAACCAGATATACCCTATGGTAAACTAACATAGCTATTGAAAATGGACCATTTATAGGTGATTTACCTATTCAAATAGTGATTTTCCATAGCTATGTTAGTTTACCAGAGGGTAAATGTGTAAGCATGCGGGTTTTGTCTCAACATGTGGAATACTGCAAAAACCCGAAAGTTTCCATGAAGTAAGAGGGAAGATGATAAACCTGCTATCGATCCAGTCGGCTTCCCAAGATGTGTTGGTTATTAGATCATTATTTCGGATAATATCCCCAACATATCCCCAACATATCCCATATTTGTTTGTGATTTTCCCCATTCTTAATCTGTTGCTTGTCATGGTTTGTCATATTCCCCACTGAAATGACAGTTTCGGGCTATCCATCCAGCCTTTTTACAGACACAAACACACATTGCATACTTTGTTGGTTGTATGTGGTTGTAGATCCCATGATATCGCAGGAAGCACTATTGATCACCATTGTTTTTCGCTCATATTGGATAAGCAATCAAATTTCACCAACCTGAAATTTTGGGATGCCTTCCCTGAAGCACAGAGTTCCGTGCCAGTCCGGTCGTAATGATTTATCAACTTAACTCATTTGAGCACTTTTCACACTTTTCAAAACCCTCTGTCGTCCCTTTAAAAACTGGTTTGTTACGAATGGATTTGCCCTGATGGACTTTAATAATCCATAATTTATCCATAATACTCCCCCCAAAAATAGGTAGATACGGGTAGAAAACACTCCCAAACATTCCCAAAGTATATAATCAAGATCCCCATAGAAATCCCATAGAAAATCCCACTGAGCTTCACCTTGATGATCGAACTTCTTCTCCGATCTCCAACTCTTCTGGATGTGCGGATCTCCTCAGTTGCGGCTGCTCAAATCGTAGCCACACCTTTTCCACATCCTAGGGGGTTAGAAAAATCCGGGATTGACATTACACAACCGTGCGCAAACTTCATGTGAGTCTGAAGAAATCACTGTACTATACTATGATAATCTATGATATACTGATATACTTGAAGGAGTTCAAACCGCTAAAAAGGTCTTTTTCATGCCGCCAATCACTTACAGTCCTGTCTTGCCATGATCATTCGGGTATCCGGAAAACCATAGAGTTTGCCAAATCTTTGAGGTTCGATTGTTGGACGTGGTGGACCACGTCTTAGGACATTCTGGACCAGAAGCAGCCGCCTCAAAATCCAACAACCAAAACAGACATGACAGTCGATGAGGAATCAAGAAAAATACACATTAAACATCATTAAACGGTTTGGGCATTTCTGGTTTGGGATGTGGCAGTGTCAACCCCACGATTCTTAACTTGGGATTCTCATCCCAAAGTGTTGAACTTGGCCGAGTCTCCCGAAACTCGGCACTGCTCGTATTCGTTGCTGTTCCAACCGCGCTGACCATCTTGGCTGCTCGGTGACCCAACGGTGACCGGACCCAAACGGTGGATGCATGGAATAGTCACCACATCAAGAAAAACATTGCGTGAGGACTTCATCAGTTACTGCTGTGAAAAAGTTACGCTTGCGACTTGGGACGGTAAAAGTAGTGATAAGATACAATTCCCAGGAACGGAAGAGAGAAATCCACATTCACAAATCATAATCAAAATATGTTCATGATATAAAAACATGGCTTTCTATATTCAATAAATTCATCCATGGTTCCCCTTAGCAAAAACATTTCCACATTAACGTTTCATATGATGGTTTTTTGAATTTAATTGGAAGCCATCATCCCTTGAATGGTCACCAGTTGACGGCCGCAGAGAGTACATACCATGACCTGGCAATTGTCGTGTCTTGTTGCCCGAGGCTATCTGGAATGGCTACAAAATTGTTTAGGTTAGGTTTTTGTGTTTTTGTTTAGGGAATTATTTTTGGATTTCTGGCTGTGCCTGTTTTCCGTGCTATTCGCAACATTTTGGAGCTGGAATCTTCCATTTGGCATGCTATTTGCAACATTTTGGATCTGGAACCATTCATTTTGCTGGTTTTTTGCAGCATTTCGGAGCTGGAACCTTTTGCTGCTTGCTATTTGTAGCATTTTGGAGCTGGAACCTTCCATTTTGCTTGCTATTTGCAGCATTTTGGAACTGGAATCTTGCATTTTGCATGCTATTTGCACAATGTTGGTTGTTGTCTGCTAGTTGTGGGTTGGTGTAGCTGGAGGAACACACCAACAACTGCTGATGGTGTGGTCTTTGTTTGGGTGTAGGCAGTGTTTGTGATTTCCTTATGCTTGTGGTTTTGGTTGCGGTGAATACCACCAAAGCCATGAAGTCAAGAAACCCTTACTTTTGTAAAGCTTTGCAGAGCCAAGAAGAAAGAAAACTGCAAAAACATCAAGGCCGAAAACGGAACGAAACAAAAAAAGGATTGCGCATGATATGTGCGATATTTTCAGCATGCTGCAACGTCAACCTGCGTTGTGGAGACGGGAACTCTCGTTTTGCATGGCATCTGCGACATTTAGAAGATATACCCTTTCAAGTTATATGGTGTTGCAGGATTTTGCAGATAATAATTGCAGCAGGTTTGAATTGAACCTTCCATTTCGCATAAGGACATGACGACCCTCCATTTTGGATAATACTTAAAGCATCTTGAAGCATTGCGAAACCTTAACTTGTTAACCAGTTCATTTACATTTCATGGTCTTTACAACGCAAAGAACCTATGAGGTCAAAAATGAAAGCACACAACAATAAACTAGAAACAGCTGGAGGGGGCATGGGGGAGGCAGGCGCAGCGCCTCCTCCCCAAGGAAAACAGAGACAACTTCTTTCCTAGTTGCGTTCCTCTGTTGCCGCTGTAGTTGTTTTTATTGCTCTTGTTCTTGTTGTTGCTTTTGTTGTTCTTGGGGGTTCCTTTTGTTGTTGCTGCTCTTACTTTTGTGCTGCTGGTGCTGTTCTTAATGATTTAATGTAGCTGTAGTTGCACTTCTAATCAAGCAAAAGAACAAGGAAGCAAGTAGAAAAGCAAAGAACAGCGAAAGCAGAAAAACAATACAAAGCAGACACACCAAAAGAAAACTCCAAGAGTTGATCCATGCATGTGCGCCCGCGAGGGGCTTCAGCGCCGGCCTAAACCAACGGCCTTCTCGAGTTAAAAAAATGCAGAGAAAGAATTGGGATGGAATGGGAAAAACACTGAATGGAACAAAGCTTTCTCTTCTTCCTCTTCCTCTTCTTCTTCTTTTTCTTCCTCTCCAACTATGTCCATTTAAATCACCAAGGTAAGTGGATGTGGATGCTCCAGCCAATCCCTCTGCATTCGCCTGTATGTCTCACTGCCTAATTCCCACCAGCACATCACTCATCTCTATGCTAAAGCAACACATGGGGAAGGGAGCCAAGAATTGGATAACCCACCCTAGTGTAATAAAAACACGAAGGCATCAAAAAAACAAACCACAGTGGGGATGAGATCATTCGCTGGTCTGGGGAGCTTAGGCAGAAGCATGGCTGGATGCTATGAAATCGGCAGTCGGGCCTGGACATATTTCTGCATAAAGGAAGCTAGAGCAATGGTTACGCCCGGGGCCACTACCGGGATACCAGTGACGGACTGCCAGAAACCTGCTAGATCGGCATGTGTCACATGAATTGTCCACCATGCTCAGACCAATTCCCAAGTACGATTTTGGGGGGTGAATGATAAGCAAACAACCAAAACCATTCCACAAACAACACCAACCACAAAGCAAACCACAGAAGTAAACGGGTTTCAGAGACGGAGGTCCTTAGCAATGGAGGCAATCACCTTAGCCTTAGCTGTGATCCTTGTTGGCGGGGCCTTCGACCCATATCGCCCAATAAACGAGTCCATGGATTTGCCCTTCCGCTTGGCCGTTGCCAATACACTCTCTATAAGGCTTCGGCCGTCAGAGGTTTGTCTCGCAGGGAAACACAATGACCCAACTCGGCTTCAATTAATCTTAAGGTGGAAGTAGGGATCAAACCTGCAGCCAAACCCCCTTCGGAAGCAACTGAACTAGGGGTATCAACTTTCTGAGGGGGTGGCGCTACCTCTGGTGCAGCGGGCCTACCAGTTGGCAAAGGAGGAATAAGAGACTGCTGAGAGCCTTGTGCCTGCAGCTTTTGCTGCTCACGCTCTTCTAGGCAAAGCGCCAGGGCCTGAGCCTATGGAGCCTCCTTTCTTGCCACTGCTGTGCTTCGAACTTCTGCTGTTTATACTCTAACTAACCTGGAGACTCCTTGGCTTCGGCCGGCTTTTTACTCTGCCTACGCCTTTCAGGGGACCTTAGAGTCTGATTTGGATCGCCTTCAACGGCGGCGGCTCGAATTGCGGGAGTCGTCACGTTTGGGATAGTAATGGCCATAGTGCTGCTTTTCACTGCGAAGGTCTTGATGTCTTCCGTGGCCTTTTCTCCCCCAAGACCCTTTGGTGTCAGGATGGTTCTGCCGCCCCGCTTCAGCGAGACCTGCTCCTGCTAGTATTAGCAGAAACACCAAGGCCATGGCTGAAGGCCGCATGGTCTATTGCGGCAAAAACAAACTGGGCACCTAGGTTTTCAACCAAAATCTAACGGCATGAATCAACTAAAAGAACACACAGGGCCCGAGGTGAACGCGAACTAAAGGAACAAATCAAAACAAAGATGACACATGGAGAAAACCGTTAAGGTGCCTTGGTTTTTCGTTCCAAGTCTCTGACGACTTGCCTAAGGAGCACTAATTCAGGCTGATGGCCTGGGAAAGAATGCACTAAGGCTCGCAAGAAACTGAGTGGATATCCTTCTAGGATAAGTTCCTGCACTTCCTCTAACAAATAGTGCACCGCCAGGTTGGCCGAAAACCCTAGCTGTTTCAATCTCGCAGCCCTACCTAGAAACATCCCTCTCAGGACGCCAAACTTGCATTGAAGCCGACACAAGTATGGCACAAAGCGCTCCTTTCCCTTTTTTCCCAAACCCTGGATCCAAGTCCTATTCGGATTCTTGGGACGCCAGGAGACAGAACCAGATTTCTCATTGATCGAGAAAATAATATCGGTCCATGTTCGTTCGAGGTCATCCTCGTTGATCTCAAAAGTCACTGAATACATGCTTCCGACTATCTTTGTCAAACAGTGGTTGTGACATAACGCAGAAGAGAATAGCAGCAAATCGTCCACATATCTCATTCCAAGCAATACTTCTTCCGGCCGCCACCCAGCTGGAATGAAAGAGCAAGCTGCATTCTGACCGCGCAGAAATAGTTCTTCTTCTTTGCTCAACAAACAAACGGATGCTACCATAGGTAAGAGCCCACCAATCAAAAGACCCTTTGATTGCACGACAATGTCGCCCAATGTAGCAAAGCAAAGCCTGCAACTGACTTCTAACATCCGTCGCAAACGCAGCAAAGAAAAAACAACGTAAGTACCAGATCGAGTGTGCCTGGAGCCACCAGGCCAGCCGACGACAGATTTTGTTCTCTTGACTGTTGTGGTTGAATGGCCCTGCTCCACCTGTAGCTGCAAAGCCCTGTCATCAAAGGCTTCCAGGACTAGATCCATGTTCACCTGTTCATACATCTGTGCTGCGTCGGCCACCAACTTGCACGTTGCTCTCTTTTCACATTGGCAGTTCTCACATCTCGTTGGGGAGCTTGAAGACCTCAATTTGCCAAAGCCACTGCGGAACTGCGGGATGACATCCCGCAACCGCCATACAGAAAAACCCGCGCCTGTTGCAATAACTAAGATTTGGATGGCTCTCCCTGCTAGCCGCCAAGCTCTCCGCCAAGGGGCCCTGAAGAAGGAGACAACCTTTCTGAAGCAGCTGTGGTTCTTCTTCTGGCAGAGGCGGCCTCCATTCCTATCAAAGCATTTGGCTTTGACAAACCGACACATGTAGGGGGCAAAGGATCCAGAAGGCAAAGGTCCTTTCCGCAAGAAAGCTGGCACCGCAAAAATGGAAGCACCAAAGACCAAAGTACTAAGCTGCTCCGGTGACATGGTTGCCACTGCCCATCGGCCGGAATCAAGAAGGACTAAGCTAACAAGGAAAGCTGTCATACATTGGAAAGGCATAGCCCATGTTCGCTTCTTGTCCTTGTCATCCGGGACCAGTACACAATTCTTTGGATGCTCTTCCAGACGCTTGGTGTACTCTTCTTCCTCGCCGGGGGGGGCATCCTGCTGCAAATGTTGACCGATTCTGTACTCTCGCAAGCAACGCCTGGAAGGGTGTCGGCGGATGTTCTTTTCTCGCAACCAAAGTTGGAGGTTCTGCCTGACCTTGGCATGTTCAGCGCCTTCTGCAAGTCTGTCAATGACAGACCAATTACCCGGCATCTGTTTGACACTCTCTCCTCTTAGCCAATGCTGGATGGCAAATAATCCCTGGCTCCACAGGCTGGATATGGAAATATTCTTGGCTGCTTGCACAACATTTCT